TAGTTGGAATTCTTCTCCACGTTAATACTTTTGTTCTTTCAGTTAGCCTATTAATATAGATGCAATTGGAAATTATATATGGACAACTTACCGGCATAATCGTTATTTGATTTCATAGTTTAAACCAAAACTAATACCAATATTAACATTTCTACAATATTCATTACTTTAATATTTCTAAACACAAAATAATTACTGCCTATAAGTCAAGTTATTAACACGCATCGTTTTATTATTATTGTAATCCCATTTTTTTATAGCTCAAATAATCTTCACCCAAATTGTCATTTTAAGTGTGTTAAGCATGAAGGCAGATTTTAAAAAATTATTACATGTATTTCCCGACCAGATGCTGCCGCCTTTCTTTTTGATTTATCTTTCAGCTTATCAATACCCGGGGAATTCTTCCTATCCTTGGTAACCTTCGGCGCACGACGATCCCATCCAATTTGGTATCGAACCAACAACACGTTGATTCTGGTGGGAGAGTAGTGTAGTGGCATTGGACAATAGCCACACAATCCACAAAGCTGTGAACACGAGACTACTCAGAAAATAGATATTCAATATTTAACGCGGAGAAATACCTAAAAATGGAGAAGGCGCGAACAATGAATTGAATGGTTTGGAGTTGATCGAGTGGCATGGCTCGGCCATGCAGGCGTGGTCTCTATTCATATTAAATATATTGTTCCTTCTCCAACCTAACCTGGTTCTTCATCATGTATTGGTAATTGATACGATACAGTGAGTTGGCGTAGTCGATGGTGTGACTTCCACGTAAGATCTTAAAGATTAGGCAGTTATATCATGACGAATCTACAAATTTAGGATTAGGTCTATTATTAGAGCAGTACTAATATCATAGTAGACCATAATTCTACACATCCACACCAGATCACGAGCTGGAACGCCGTGCTCAACAACCCCTGCAATCGCTACCCAGATTAGATCAAACTATCCTCGATATATTGATAGCTTATCAAATATATCTTCGAACCTCCTCGCTTCTGTCTTTTGATTTCACTTGGTGGGTACACTTCATATTAGAAGGTGTAACTGATTAAAGCGTTGTCAAACTCCGACTACCTGTGGCATCTTCACAATCATCTCTTAACAGTTGAGTTATAAATTTGTTATCTTCCCATTGCAGTCAACCAACATTATGCCTGGCTATGTGATAGCCGTTTGTATCCAGAATCACTCCTTCCCTGATAAAAATGCACTGACTCATGTACTACCCACAAATAGCTACTATACTGACTAGAATTGATTATGTTAAGTGGTCAGTCTTCCACCTACTGGACATTATGGAATAACTGGGACAATGTCGAAATAACAAGGATGTGTTGGCATTTTTCCCTGGTTACGTCAAAAACGCCCACCTCGTTCTGTCATTATTTTGTAAGAATATGTAGTTTTCAGTACATATAGACTGACAGTCGTGCGGCTTTGTGTTTATGCTTCTAGTATTCAAAAGTAGATAGCGCAGTTTTCTGGAAGAACGAAGTAAATGAATCATCAGTAAGCATATTATAAGGATCCTGAAATTTCCTAGTAGTTCTCCTTGTTAGTGGAAGCGCTTGACTTGTTTGTTACAAAGTATAAGAATAAAGTTATACAAACTGGAAATTATAGACAACTAGCAGCCGTGTATGAAGTGATTTATTTGGACGTGTGGTCAGTTGTATTAGCGACAAACATTATCCAACTCTGAGGTGTTCGTCTATACGATATCTTCTTGTGCTGATATCATGCAAAATTCATTAGGTGACATTTATCCGCCTAGAAGATTAACACTATTCAACATTGTTTTGTGAATAGAATGCCTGTTGCATAATGTAGTTTCTTATTAACACGAAAGTGTGGAAATATAAATCGATGTAAGCTGCTCGTTACTTCATAACGTGTTGACTTATAACCAAGTGGGGAGCATTACCATAAACTCCATCCTTTCTGTAGAAAGTCGAACCCACTGTCCATTGCTGGACTCATCGGATTTAAGATATTTTGTATTACTACACGATGTCGCCCATAAAGTTAGATGGATACTAAAAATCTTTGATTTATTAAATAGCTTCGTTAATGTTGGTGGTTGCAATGGGCTATTTTGAGGTCACTTTATGCGGTATGATTCTTTAGTTTCGAATACTATGATAAATACTAACATCTATAGGAAAACACACACTGACTAATCAGTCCTCATTTTCGCATGGTCTCAAGAAAATTGCAGATAAAAGCGCAAATTTTAAAACAATCTGTAACTTGATAACGAGTTTTCACTTAAAAGATTGGCTTCAGAAAGATATTTGTGATTGTATCAGCTCATCTACTTATTGGTAAGTTAACTATGTACCGAAGACCTTTCAATACTGAAAAACGTTATTAATAAAGCACTGTTGAAATAATACGCCTTAATACACACAAACCACACTACCAAGCCATTCGTTGTTATATTGAGCCATATACGTAGGTTCAGATAATCCGGTTGGTTACAGCTAAACCACCAGGTTCTACGTTGCACGCGACTAACGATTGCTCCATTATTGCTATTCGAGGCAAATAAATGCAACGCAAATGCAGAGTCTTCACTGGACCAGGATACCGTTTTGAAACCTTCTCTAACAGGGCCATAGTTGATTCTTCGAAAGTTGTACACAGGTGGCGGTCATATTGGTAGAATAATCTGTGGAGCCACTGAAAACAAGCTAATATCATCCAACAGGAAGATTAGTGAATGTAGAAAAGTTTTTCTATTCACGTAAAAGTAAAGGAAGGTTGACGAGCATCATTCAGTTGCACGCCACGAGGAGACTCATGCAACTGTCACGACAGCATAATTCAGGTTAAGTACTGACTGGTGAACGTAAATACGAAGTAACTTAGGAGGTCACACCGCTTCCTTTCAACTCGTCCAGATCAGTAGTCATCCAACTAGATCGCCTCTGTTGATAATCTACGGGTATTAGTGCATTATCTCCTTATCATAAAGGATTTCAGACCAATAGGCAGACAAGAATTTCGAAAGGTGATGCAATACAAATAGACCTGACTCGGAAAAAAGTAATGGTGCATTGAAGTTGAGTATAAGGTCGATAATGGATTATAATTTCTGCATAAAAACTCACAAAACCGTACAAGATAATAAAGACGACTTGTACCAAGTGGATTGGTACAATTACAAATAAAACAGGATATATTTCAACCGTACCTGCAAAGGAGGTACTGTTAGTGCTACACCAATAGACTTGTAAGGTCTATTAAGGACATTAGGCAATTAAATATTGCGGATGTACAATAAGTAATTGACAAAAGTGAAGGGGATCTTGATGACACAGGAATACTGTCCGAACCCCAAGTGAATAACTTTAACGTTTAACTGTTCAACCAATAAACTTTGTTAATAGTTAAAACGTCGAACATCTACCTTACCAAGGACAGATATGGTAGCTGTCGTAATTCAAGATTTTACAGAAAGCGAAAGTGAAACGTCATTCTGAAAAAACATCAGTAACAACAACTAATATTAAACATAGGTTCAGAAATGAAAAACGATATGATAATAACAACCGTAGATAAACTCAAATAGAAACAGAATATACATGGATACCAACAACAACTGAAGAAACGGTACACGCTGAGAAAGACAAGTAATTAGTTATATAGGAAACACATGGTGAAATTTTCCTTTATGTTTTTATGGGAAAGTGCAAGTGGATTTTACACTTGGATAGTGAAAATGCATATCAGACTAGGGATATCCTTTTGGACCCGACTTCAACTTCAGACAAGTTTTCAATGTAAGCGGTCACTTTGAAATTTCTACCTAGGAATTTAGCAATATTAAAGTCTGACTGGCAAGATATGAGAAAAGTTTAATTCTAGGGCTCCTTCGAAAGATTGAAGAAAGTTACCTATCACTATGTCAGTCCTGTCAAAAGTGGTGATACGGATAATGGTTAGAATTCTTTGTGATTATACACCAGAAAATCGTATAATGTTCGGAAATAGTTTTACACAGAACTGCCCCAACCTGTATTCATTAAGCAATCACCGGAAATCCTTGTTTATGAGCATCCGTTGGGGTACTAAATCAGATTCTAAAGGGTTTTAGAGCCCGTTTTTGATTAAAAATTCTGACAGTAGTCTATCTCTGACATGATAAATAATGCTTCTAACTTGCTTGAGTTTAGATTGATAAAAAATAACCATGTTAAAGTTGACTTGACATTCATCCAGGTAGTCAATAATAAATACATCAAACTACTGATAAACTAGGATAAAAACTATGCAACGAGCATAAACATTGCAAAAATTCACATGTAACAGCTAAAACGCTGTTCACAGCTGATAAATAAAGACATCCAAAATACTCGACAACACGTGACCCATACGCGAGAACATATAGTTTAGCTTATTCTTCATATCTTTCATCATATGACAGCCCTCCAGGTTAAGAGATTTGAAACGTAACTTTTTTTTGAATGAATATATAGATAGGAAATATGAGTGAACAATCTTTGAAGTTTACTTGTGTAACGTACATAATTTTGAGAGAAATACCATAAAAATGATGTCTAGCCCTTAGACAACGCTTTATGAACATTGAGGTCCGGCTGAGCTGCCTGAGTTTGACCTGGTTAGTGATTACTCATATTTGAAGTCATCCTAAAAAGGGAAGTTAAGACAAGAGGCGATGAGTGCACCAAACGTGGTTGAAAATGACTCAAAGCTAAGTCTACTTGATGTCTTAAAAAATTCCTGGCATGTTGACCTGTGACTGGTGAGGCTCACAATGGAAGCGAGAAGAGCATGAATCATAGAACAAGGGAATGCACGAATTATTTTCTATGATGGACGTTGTATTGATGCTTAAGAATCACATATAATACGTTATAGATATGTCCCAATGAATATCAAGTTTTTTCTTTTTAATGCTTGGAAGGTTTGCGGTTTTGTCATCAGAGGACGTTGGTTGAACTGCGGGTCATTAGATTTTTGCGGTACTCAGTGACATGATTTCAGACCTATGGCTGCTGGCTTTACTTGCACTCAGCGTTAATGCCATATATGAAGATCAGGTTGACGTTCTAGATTGGTATGCCTTATTAGTTTACTGATGCTCTTTTTAAGGAATCAAAAGTTCGTGGGGAAAGTAAAGTATTCAAAATTAAAGTTTGATGGGACTACCCCTAAAAACTATTTTGTGGGTTCTGAACTCAACGTTATTAGCTCTATCAATTTAAAGGATGGGTCAATTGGTAAGCTTTAGGGTTGTATAATTGCTTGTAGTTTGGCGACAGGTACTTGACGAGGACGGTGAATTAACTGGATTTGAATTGTGTGGCAATAGTAAATCCTTAAAAATATGCGTACATACATTTAGAGTTGTTTTCTCTTTCCTCCAAGCATGGGACTAAGCTGCGTGCTTGGGACATTAAGTTTGGTGGTGTTTTATGGGAGATTTTAATAGATTCTTCTGAATCATCCAGGTAATATAAATACTTGTTGCTTATGCTTATCAACAGTGGCGACATTTGGTGTGATGAAAACTCAGGAATTTTGGTTGTTGCTTACGATAAAGGAGTGGATACCTATCGTCTTCAAACAGGTGAAAAGCTTCTATCTGATAGAAATATGTAAGTATTATATCCATAAGCGTCGCTCTTAAATATTCTCTTACAACCACTTTTTGTAAATACTTCTTTCTAAGTTAATATTAAAACAAGTAAAATAAAAAAACCGCATCTTCACACTTAGCGAACCCAATAAAATGCGACCGATAATTTCTGGGTTTTCAGAATGATTTTAAGTTTAATGAACTACATATGTACTCGTTGTTTTTCAAAACCATATCGTTCTGCTTTAGTGAGTAGTTAGATCAGATGAGTGTAACGACTTTAGGAGTCGATTCCTTGAAGTGATGCAAATATGTAGCAGTTTGAGTTTAGCCTGAAGGTATATCATTTAACAGTAGGAGCATAAATAGTAACGTGTCAACAAATCTGCTGAAAAGAACACGATGAGATAACATTTCGGTGAGCACATTCAATACACTTACACTCAAAAATATCAGCAATTAACAGTGGAAAATAGATCCAAATAGTGTGACAGTCGGAAAATTAGCAGTTAGTAGAGCAAGATTTTGAGTGCGTTACAGTACGTGACTCCACAACGGTTCGCTAACACACTTTGCATCCGACTTGACTAGTGTGATAACAGTTTGGCATGTGTTTGTTGAATGCAATCGGTAATTCCGATTGGTCTCAATTTAACCACTTCGTTTTAAATAAGCAGTTATTGAGGGGGAGGGGACTTATGAAACATGAAAACTTTATTTGGATAAACTCTCGATGTTTAGACGGAAACTAAGAGTGCGTTGACTCCAAAGTCAAGATAACATTATGTATCAAAGATATGCTTTTGTAGCGATGGCGTTTCTTAAGTGTCATTGAATTTCGTTTTCTATCGTAGCATATGGATCAGCTGCAAGAATTCTTATCTCTTTTCAGGAACAAGATCTTCCTTGTAACTATTCAGTCCTACCGTAACATTATTTGCCCTAAGCGAGTCAAGAATCTAAAATCTCAGAATAGCCCTTAGGAGCATGGTTTCAATGAGCAATGGTTAGCGAAACGTTCGAAGCGTGTCACTGTCCATTTTCTACATTCTTTGCTTGGTATTCCAGCCCATAGATTTAAAGTCTTGATAACACCTATGTCGGTATTCCGGTTAATTTTAATTGCATTCAGATGTCGACATGAAACCTTAAAATATGTCGGTTTCTATTCAGACTTCTCACATGGACCTACAATCATACTATTTGTCTCATGACAAGAATAGGAAGGTTGTAAGTAGAGCCATTTCTTTGGTGCTTTCACTGAATGCATTTGCCAAACGTGTAAGTGATGTTTCTGCCCACACTAAAACTAAGTTGTCTTATCACAACCACTTCCACTGTTTATATTTGTTTTGTTTAATCCCATCTAAATGTTATTAACTTTCCTTTTCCATATGGTAGCGTTCGAGAGGAATCTTAAGCAAATCTGTGCATTCTTAAGGCCAATTGCCCGAGTTAAGCTTATTTTCATGGAAAAGCGTTATAACCCCGCTTTCACTTTTATACGTTTGTTAATATTTTGGTTAATTGATTATTACTCTCCTGTGATACCTTTCTTGAGTTTGTACCATTGGTTTTTGGAACATTTGTAGGAATTCAAGTTCTCCTATTCAAATAAATATAGTTTCTGGGAAAACTGAATCCAGTTCGACAATATCACTAGTCGAAAAATATCTGGATAAGAGTGCTCATCTGGATATTGATACACCTGAATTATCTTATATAATTATCAAAACATATCCAATTTCAAGTTCTGGATTGCAATTAACCCCTATGGTCATAAAGAACCACACGATTCAGTCGTCTGTTTATAGCCAACACTCGTAAGTGAATTTTGCTGCAGTAACCTTGCCTTTATGTAAAAAAAAATTAAGTTTGTTGTTCTGAGGCAACAGTTATTTAGCTTTTCTCCACCCAGGAAAATTTTTCACTTGATTCTTCAGTTTACGTGATTTGCTTCTCATTTCGGGAGATTTCCAACCCAGTTGTGCATATCACCATTATAATACGATTAACGTATCCATCAATTATATTAGGTTGAGTATTGAAAGGTATTATTATTTATTTGATGTGCTAAAGGATCGTACATTCATACGATTTCAATCCTCAATTGTATCTCTGATAAGTCATTTACTGAATCTTGAGTTGGAACCTGGTGGTTTGTGAACCGTTCTTAGACTCAAATACAACTAGAAATCTTGTAACACGCCTACTTGTCCACATTGTTCGTTAGCTTAGTAACTTTCAGGTTATAGTCATCAACATCTTCCCCAGGGACTAACGAGTTTGAAAACTGACAAGCCTAGTGACATTAAAGTAATTGAGTAGATATTGTTGCTCCAATCTCCGTTCTGTTAGTTAGTCTTAGTCAACATGGGACTTGGTGATTGTCATGTCACATCAGCACAGCCAAATGAAATCGACAAGGTGAATGGCAAAGTAATGAACATAAAAGTTATTATTGAAAGTGAAATACAGAATAAATAATGGGGTTCAAAGCGAATTAATCAGTTTTCAGAATTAAACGTTCTAAATAATCTTGGAGCTTAAAATCCATGGGAGTAAATAGTGAATACATTTGGATCATTAGTCATTTTCGAACTATCGCACCTTACATTCCCAATCACTAATCGCGGTTACCTGACTAACCGTAACCATATAATCTGCGCTTACCAACGCTGCTCAGTCCAACGATGACTTCATGGAGTGATGTGGCGTCTTGGTTTGTCCGTCTTCAGCTTCCTTAAAGTTTGCCACTTCTAGTTCAACTAGCACTTTTTGTCGAGATAGGCGTTGATTGGGGATGCGCAGCATATGTCTCAGACTTTGACCGATGAAGATGCACATTCTAATCAGCCTGTTTTGTTATGTCCTATGGTCTGTCCGATATCACTTGACAAAATCGCCAATCAGAATACCGACTTCTATGACATTGTCCCTGTGCTAAAACAATAATGCATCAAACAATTCTAGCAGTCTTGAGTCAACGCTTAGCCCTTATTGATCCTCTGCATAGCAACTTCTCACCTAGTTCAACCTGTTCAGTTCAGATCACAAATATCAGCCTCCGCTGTTGGAATCGTGTATTTCAGACATACTTAGTTTATATACAAGCAGACTAGACCGCATCAAATCATAAAGTCGAAAATAATTATTGTATGAGATCAAGCCAAAAGTGGCTGTGAGTGTGGGTTACTATAACTAATAAATTGGGAATAAGTTAAGAATGGTAAATCGTATTGCTGTAGCTAACAGATCAAATGAAAGCTTATGATAAAAGGTATATATATATACAACTAATACTCCTGCTTCTGACTTCATTATTGTCCACTCTGCTGTTCCATCATACACGAGAAATGCTTCAAAAGCATTTGTAGTCAAATACCAGTAACTTGGGAATGTCCTATACTTTCAGTTGTCACATATTATAGCCATGGAGTTAAACAGAGCGGACCACTGTGCACTAGACTGAACATTTGAAGGGTAAATGTGTGCCTTATTTACACAACAAATGGCAAAAGTTCTCAAAAGCCAACTGGAACTTTGTTAACTATTAGGTTCCGATGCTGACAACATTTCCAGATGTAGTCGATGCGTTCAGCTATCTCACTCAGTGGTAAAATCAGACATTAACTTAGACCAGTCGTTCAACAACATTTCACATTTAGAAATACATTTCACGTATTTTTACACTGCTATTCAGTCTTTCGAAGATTGGATTATGTCAATGTCTTTTACCAGACAGAACCATGTCATTTATATATACTCTAGGCACATGAGTAAATTTATATGTAAATCAATTACTGAAAAGTTAGACGAGAAACGCATCATTTCTAATAGAATGTCTATGGCGAAAATGAATTCCACATGCTCGATGTTTTTTAAAGTCTAAGACTTTAGAATAAGTTCTGTTTCAGTGTACTAGTTCAATTCGCAGTTTTTCTTCTAGCATCTCGTACACATTTCATTGACTTATTTATAAAAAGCGTGAAGTAGTAAGAATTCTCGTCTTGATAATCCAAATCGCATTTAACACAACAAAATGCGCTTCTCACAATGTAATTTGTATATTTAAAAAAAGACAATTTCGATTATATCCACAACCATTCTAACCTTCTAGGTGCAATATATTCGGGTTACATAACACACCAACTGATGCCGTCGTTGTGTGTTTATCGTCGGGGCGTGGTAGACAGGGAAGCGTGCTTAGATTTTCATCTGTTTCATCGTCGAATTGGGACGTTATCACAGTGAAAAGCGTAAGCTGATTTTTGTATTTTGACTCAAAGCACGGAGTAAATTTTCTCGTATACAAATAACTGGATTTATATATGATAATCCCTGAGTAGTGTAGTTTCATTGCTAGCTTTTATGTTCTGTTTGCCTGTGATGAAGTAGATACAAGAACGATTTTCCGTTACTTGTACTTAAATATTGATTTTACTACGAGGTAATACTATGTAAACTCAAGATTTGTACTGATCAATTTGTACTATACTATCCTCATCGTTTTTACGTCTTTGGTTGTTTTTTGTGTAGATCGGTCGAAACGGCCCAGCTACATCCGATTTTTATTTACCTATAACTTTAGGGCTTCATGTTATTACGTACTTTTTGGATCTACATATCACTCATTTCTCTTGAACTATCTCTTTCTCATCTAATTTCCACCTCGACAATTTCATCTCTTTATCTGTTCATATGTAGTGTGACAACTTAAAATGATATATACTCATGTCATATTCTGCTTTATCATAAGTTTACTATCGTAGATATCAGTCAATCATGATCAACATGGAGCCTGGCACAAATGTTCTTTAGCCTTTGTCATTGTCGTATGAAGATGACATGAAGGATGGCAATAGTTCAAATCAGTGATAGTGAGGGAGTATAGACACGAAAGGATACTGATTTAAAAGAAAAGATGAAATCGAGGACTAAAAGTAATGGTAAACAGTAAATGCATCTTTATCACTATGATTTTAATTCACGTCACCCAACGTTTCCAACTACTAATCGTGGTTATATCACGGACCCTAACTAGGTAGTTTTTGCCTACTAAAACGACTCAGTCAAACAATGACCCTATATACTGATACAATGTCTTGGTTTCGGCGTCACAATTTTTTTTACAAACTGCTACTTCAACCAACATTGCTTGCCGAGTTGGATGATGATTAGCATATATAACAAATATCCCGGCCACCTCAGTCGATAATAGGTCAATAATTTAATCAAATGATTATTATCTTTTCCCGTTACCATAAGCATAACCTCAGTATTCGTTACTTACTTATATTGTACCATACATGAGGAATCCTTCAATGACAATTATTATCAAAAATCTGCAGCCTACGCATATCTTCTATTTTCATAGACCATGTTTCAAACCCGTAGAGTGATATGAAGCGGATTGCTGTACAGTACACTTAGTCCTTACTAAGCAGATGGATAGCAAAAAGAATCTCAACTTTTGGTAATACTAGGCTGTTATTATTCGTCATAACTTTACTCTTTATGATAGCGTACAACTGATTTCTCAAATTTTTAGTCTCAATTTGGATTTGCGGATGTTAATTTGTATGTCATTGTAGTGTGGTGTCAAAACGTATATCTAGATATTTATCGGCGTTTTTCACGTTTTGTGTCTTTTTGATCCTTCAGACCTTTGAAAATATGGTTAAGCTAACAGACAATGATTTTCTGTTAACCTCTTCATCGTTGGAGCCTACCACTGGGGCCGTATATCATTTAGATCCCTCTGGTATTCCAGTTGTAAAATACTTTGTCAATAATGTGAGTAAAGCCAGTGTCAGTTTTTCAATTATTAATTTTTATTATCCCTAAATTACTACGATATTTCCTTTTCTCTAACTTTTAATACACGCCTGTGACGTAATAAGTTATCACTAATATTGTGCATAATGTTTGTAACTTAGAACGAAAGTATTTCGTTAGTATTGGGGTATTTTTTCTAAATGGTTTACTTGTAAAGTTTTAAATTATTTCTCAATAACTTTTCCAGTAAAAATTTTAAAGAGAATTGAACTTTTGGAATTTATTACCAATTAGTTAATAATCTTTTGTCGATAAGAGAGATATGATTAGCTGATGTAGGAATGGTTTAAAAATAGATAAAGATGTATCAGGTTATAATGTCAGTCTTTGACTGTTAACATAAATTGTTTAGGGAGGTTTTTTAAACGCTTCTTGGTTTCGCTTCACAATAATGGACTCACTTTTGAAAATGACTTGATCTACTATCTTCCAGCTAGTTCTAGGCATTTATTTACCTCATACTTTTACTCTTTCAACTGTTTTTGTCTTTTCTCCCTGATGACCAAGAATTACGTAACAATGCGATGAAGTTTAAATAGAAAGAGTATAGAAGGAAATAAAAATAAGTCTATTGAGGGAATGTATGAGGTTAGTAAAGAAGGAGACAAGTGAGAGTATTAGGATGGCTTTGAAAAACTAGGGATTATGATCATTTTATAACAAGAGGTTGAATAAATTTATTTAATATACATAGTTCTGGATTTTTCCAGTTTATAGTAAATGCTTCAGCAGTGCTACGAAGATAAAAGCTCACTTCTGTGTTAGGCCCTGCTTCAGTTTGGGCACCCGAGCAGTATCACAGCCCTCGCACATATCAAATGAGATTTCTGTGGCGCATATGTATTTAGTGCCTCCTTATACCAATATCTATTTGTTAAAATAAAATAAAAAATCTATGTTAAGCAGGTTTCTACTTACCCTGCATATGACTTTGAAAGTTGGATGTTTTTATCAAGTGTTATGTTCACAAGGTGTTTGATTATGAAGCTTCTTATTGATTCGTTTCCGCCTCTTTTCGACCAAGCTGGACATAATATTCTTGAAGTCTCTTCTAACCGTTTTTTATTACTATTAGGATCGTTAATCCAAGTTGTTTATTTATTACTTACTATCCTCAATGTACAGATCTGACACACAGGGACATAAACTAGCACAGAATTTCCATATTCTTACTTTTATTTGTCTGTCCGTCTTTTGTGAGGTGAAATGAATAATAATGTTCAGTGTATGTTTCATTACCAGGGATGTTAAAGATTAGCAAAATCTGTTGTAACATTTTTTACGCTATCTGAATATTAAAAATTTCAACATACAAGTGAAATTGTTATTGTAACTAACCATTACTGGTGTCATCTAGTTAACTCAAGTAATTAACTTCGATCTGTTAAGGTGAATGAAGTTGAAATTAGATTCGAAGACAAGTAATATGGTGGTGCATACATCTATTGTGAATATAATACTGTAAGAATAAAATATTTCATTGCATCAAAAATAACATTTTACTTGAACGCTTGTGGTAGTAGTGGTCGTGCACAATCAGTTCATATCCCTGTAATTATTTATAGTTCGATTATGGGAATACAGTTCTTAGAATTCTTATCATACTGTTTTTTTTGTAAAATTTCCCCGGAGTACTTTCGTATTTTGTATGACGTGTAGTACAAATAGGTTTCATTAAATGGACTTGGTGTTTTAGCGGCTAAAGCATTTGACATTCAGCCATGATATCTGAGGTTCAAACGTATTATCCACTTCAGTTTAAACACTTGTGTAATGCCAATAGACTTCGTGCAAAATGTAAGTCAAAGTTGAATACGTAGTTGTTGTACTTCGTTAGTAAGTTACATTAGAAATTACAGGCTTCAGTAATTGTCAGCACTTTGTTTATCTTACACTTTTTATCATGACTTCAGGTCGGTTGATATCTAGAGAAACGACTCGCCAATAATAGTTCTGTAATATTTTTCTACCCCACATATACTATACTACTTCGTTTTTACTGGCAAGGTTAACCTTTAGTTGAGACCAAGAACAATCATAACCCCTAGTGGTCCTCAACGTATTCTCTGTTAGCCGTTTACAGTCCCATGACAGAACACTGCAAGCAGTGGTACAGTTGTATATTTTGTGTAAATGAACTCATACAATAATATGGATCAAATTTACGTATCTCACATCAACATGACCATGCAATGGCATAGTAGGCATAACTACATCAAAGATGGAAGACAACTCCGGGAAAAAAAGTGAATGATTAATTAGTCATAATTAAGGACTAATAAAACGTATACAGTAGTAGTTATTAAATCCATTGGAATCTTACAATATGGAGGATATGTGAACATAATAATTCAGTCTTCTAATAATTATACAGTAGAAATAAAAATAAAAATAGCAATACATAAAATAGTCTTAGAAGTTCCAATGTATTCTATACTCTCTCTGTCATAACAGGTACAGCTTCATTTCTTTGATAAGAAAAAATGCACCTGATTAGTTTATTATCATTATTACTATTGAGATGGTGGAGAAAATTCGCAGCTCAGGTGGATGATTTAGGTGTTTTTGTTCTCTGAGCTGGATGGTTTGGTCGTGTAGCTTTCCATGTTCTTCTGAATAACATCATCAGCACAAACTTCAGGTAGAATTGAAGTGTTCGAATTTCTCCACATATGACTCACAGCCTGTCCTGTCGACAAGATGATGATGTCCAGTAAAACAATGGAAGCTCCATGAGCAAACCATCCAACGCAGACAATGAACACCTAGATTATTGCTATTATTATTATTATTATTATTATTATTATTATTACAGGCTATGATTGGATGTTTGGGAACGCTAAATGGTCGATCGTATTTATTTACACTTCATCACAATTCAAGTCAGGTAATGATATCACTTTTCATCTCCTTACTTTTTTGCAGTTTCTTCTGCGACTGCCTGACACCACCTCAAAATAAGCTAAAATGTCTCAAATATTCATAGCTTTCATTGAAGGACTTTTATTTGATTGTTTATATAGTTGGTGTTATCTGGATGCATTTATAGCGTTCCATTTCTGCATCGAATAAACTAGCTGATGGTATTTTGGATATTTATACCTATTGCCATAATCACATTGGTGCGACAATACTTAAAATCATTGCTAGATAATATTCACCGAAAGATGTTTGTGACATATATGTTTAGTATAATAAGTTTATCATTCACTATAGGTGATGTTAACGGTAATAACTCTGATGTCTTCACTTAGTCCGCCGTTAATAAAGAAGTGTACGGTCAACAAGCTTCTATACAACTTATCTGTCCTATTATACCAACATGACTGAGTGTTCCAAGGAATTGGTTTATAACAGTTAGTTCGTCGATTAATGGCCTCTTCAGCTGTTATATTCTGTGCAAATAATTAGTTTCATCGGTCCATAGATGGTTTTTGTTGATTTGTACTTTGTTATTGACTTGAAAATTATTTAATATTGCATCTTCAAAATGTTATCTACAGTCTTGTGCAACTGATTGTGTGCGTGAAAAATTTCACAGTCTTCAGTATTACAAGACTTAGGACTTTCACATTAGATATATGTTGAGTTCTAAACGTAGGCACTTGGATTCTATAGAATCCGTTTGGTTTATCTTATTAACTTTTCGATGATGTGTCAAATGAATTTGCTAAAATATAATGACTAGTACTCATGGTTGTTTGCGTAGAAAAGTCAACCATCTAAGAAACTGAAAAATCACAACGTATCATGTGATCTAAATCAAATTATTCTTCCTGATCTGATTATGAAATTAATGAGACATACTTACGTCTACGTTATACTTCTAATTTGAAGATGAGATGAGGATAATTTGAATATAAACAGGGTAAGTTTCTATAGGTTCGTCAATTCTGCTTCGAACAACTTAGCGTAATAATGCAGTCATTGATTATGAGACGGTAGCTTGATGATTAGGACGTTCGGCTTTCAGCTACTAATTCCAAAGTTCAATCTTCTCTCCATTTATTTCGGAGTGAGCAACTGGGTAGTATCATTAACTCTCACACTCAGATTGTAGCTCATACACTTAAGCACCTGGTGGATGAGTGAATTATCTATACATATCTATATTATATGAGGACTTCGACGCGGACGCCTATCAGTAAGCTAGATTATTTTTGATAATTAACAGTGACCACTATTAGTTGGAAATATTAAGCGATGAGTATCTTTTTCTTGTTAGCCGAAGCGTAAATACAAGTATCTTCACCGCTTTATTTTACTTAAATCATCTGCATTAAACCCTGTCTAAATTTTTTAGAATCTTTGTTTTTTACTAGTAATTTTAATTAATACTTTTTCCATTATTTATCGTTTTGATAGGATTTTAAGAATCTGGCTCTTAACATCTATGATTTAGAATCTGGTGAATTATCCAAAGAACTACCACCTCGTCATTTCACTCTTGCTGGTCATCATGGTACAATTGAATCAGTGAGTTCACCAGTTTTAGATAGATTTTGTTTATAGTTTTACTCTAATTTACTTCTGCGAAGTTAATCAGTATCTTTGTATGTAGATCTTATTCTTAGTTAAATAGTATCGGTTCATTCTTGACTAGGTGTAATGGCTTAGAATCGTTCGCGATGGAGGAGCTACATCCACTCTTTGTCTTTTCCTATAACCTGAATCCCGAAATTTCTCCACACCGTTTTTTTTCTATGCCTAATTTCTACTACTACTGATACTGTTACTTCTTTAATTACTTTTGAATTTCTTATGATAATTTCATCTCACTGTGTTAATGTGTTATGACAATTTGAACTGATGAATATATGTGCTAAGTTCTACGATGTATATAACTGACTATCGCTGTGTAATCCTATCCTAAATTGAAACAACAGTTCAGTGCTGTTTAGTTACTCCATGGTTGTTCAGCTAAAGTTAATCTTTGATGTAAACTACAAAAATTTATGTCTTTACAAACCTTATGCACTAATAATCGTGTGTATCAACGTTGTTTGCTATTAACGACTGTGAAAAAAAACAAGATCCTCTTATATATATTTGAACACATAAGCATCGATACAAGGGGGCACCAAATATATATGCGTCACACAATAACAGTCAAACCAGTAATAGTTATCATTGGTTTGTGTGAGGTCTGTGGTACTGTTCGGGTGTCCAGACCGAAGAATGTGGTTTTCTTAGGGGACCACACCCGGAGCCTTTGGCCTGAAGGTCTGACCCACTAGGCAGTAGAGCAACGTTAGGAAATGCAGTCCAATGGTGGCCGGTGACTAACAATAGGTTCATACACCATCTGTTCCTTCAGGATCCTGGAGCCCATGTGCACCTTTGGTTTGAAATCAGGGTTCTCCAACTCCCCTAGGTAGACTTCCCATATCCACTAACCCGGTTAAAGTGTCAGACATTCTCATTTCATCCTCTCAATCTCGTAAACAACAGTAATGCCGCGAGAAGACAGTGAGTGCGACTTCCATGGCAGTGGCTGTATACGCGTGGCCATATGAAAGCGTTTCGAGAGGGAGAGCGGACTCTCCTCACCCTCGTCAGTACCAAAGCATTTGGGGGCATATAGATATCCTAACATTAATTTATGAATAATGTAGATTAACCTTATTTTGCTTTTCTTCATAGTTTTAACTGTTAAGTTCATTGATGTTGAAGTGTGTGATGTACAGTGTTTATTAGTCGTTTTCTGGAAATCTGGTATTTGATATGTTTATAGTTAGATTGTCTTTTAAATGTTGCATGAATAAGAATCCACTTTCAGCTGTTATGTCGCACGTTAGAACTTCCCTCACTGTTTATTTCGGTTTAGATAGTCAGTTAACATCATTAACTCTCATATTTAAAGTGTGACTTAGAGCTAAGCACACGAATGTGTATCTGTCAGTGAGATAATGATATTGATGACAATACTTTTTGAAATGGTTCGGATGATTCCGTTGTTGATATTTTGACTGAAATTTGGTCAGTCTTGATTGATATATGTGCATTCTGTGCCGATTGCCTCGATATAGACATTATGATACAAGTTTATGCAGAATCGATGGAACGTGGCTATCAGGGGAATCCAAGACACATGTTTCTCTTATTAGTTGAATGTACCTGCATCCCAGCGTTAATGTTCACTCCAGGACGCGAACCTGTACACTCTGAACTCAAGAGCTAAGTTAATTATGCAATGAAATCTGAAGTGAACGATACTGGGTCCTAGTCCAGAGTTGGACACGCATCATAGATGTTACTATCAGCCACATTTAATCTATTTTAAATAAAAATATTGATAATAAATGCGAACTGAGGGTAAATTTAACCCACTTACCTTCATTTTATCTATTCTGGCTGTGTTAGATAATTTCAATTATGATACAAACAGTTTCTCACTCGATTTATTGCAAGCTTCCTACGAATTATTGATTTTATGCTCAGTGAGTGACTTTAATTTTCCATTGCCCTCTAATAATCCAACAAAGCAATTAATTTTTAAAAGTACAAAATGCAAACTTACGTAAGCTGAGTAAAATTTTCTGCATGACGCTTTCCAGTGGATGCATGTATTCACTTTTATTATAGTTAGGTCTGTCAAAATATTTACATTTCTTTGATCATATAATTAGTCTGTACCTAAATCTTATGTTACGCTCAGTGTTTTATTTTTGATTTAATTCTAATTCATTCTTATGTATTTATCATAAATGAAAAGTTTGTCTACCAAATATTTGTATTATAGAAGTATTTTGTTGCTTAATTGTTTTTTCTTTGACAGATATCTGTTATCATGTTTACTGATGCTACTGGTGCTCCGAGTTTTCGATTATTACTACATACAGAAGATGATGCTGTACAACTAATCCGACAAAATGGTAATAGTTCATTTTTTGTAGTTCTTAAGCTTAACATCATTACATTAATGACTTCTCGTTTTTCGTATTAAGAATGGATTAAGCAATATGTGCTAACTCTTTAATGTTAGACCGCTAGTTTGTTTCCTCTTCTTTATATGTTTTAAGAATCTACGGATTTCTCTTCAGTCTTAATAATTCTTTCCTCACTGCTTATTTTTACAATAATTATCTGGTGAATTGTTCACACTTTCTCATTAACTATCCTTATGGGCACAAGTCCATGAATTCTCACTGACAAGTGGACTGAGTCATGTTGGTAGGTGTCGACTACCTGATTGGGGACCGCGAGATGATAGCAACCGATGGTTAGAGACCCTGAATGACATGGCTCAAAATCGTTTGCAATGGCGCAGGTGCATACACTCTTTGTGTTCTCCAAAATTTTGATCTCCTGATTCCCCCTTGTCTCTTTTTTCTCTTCCCAAATTTATTTCACTGTATCATACTCTTTAAATAACATCTTCGAACCCTAATCTTTTGGATTACTGCTTATGCTCTTACTACATCTACCACTACGGGATTTGAATCGACCACTGCATCTCTGTGCTAATGTGGTATGGCAACTCGAACTGATGTACGTACGTACGTACGAAGTTCTACGTTGTTACTGACTGACTGAACTATCCTTATAAAAATAGGTCATATCTGACACTTGTTGGAATTTGTTATATTCAATTGTCTTACCTAATAATTATTACATTATACACAATGGAATCACGCATACACAATGCTTTCATCAACGTAGGAGGTCGACGGTCATTCTAGTGTTTCTTAAATATCTATCGAGTTCTCAAGTTTCATAAAAAATTGCAGATTGACCCTGTTTATTAAGGCAATGTAATGGATACCTTGTTTTTATATGATGAGAAAATAAGTTTCTTGTATTGTTGTTTGGGTCCGTGAAATCAGACCGTAATTACAGGAGAGAAATTGTGTTGATCTAGATCGAGCATGAATTTATTCATCTAGACTATCGGGTACCAATAACACGATAGTAATTTGCTTACAACTGAGGGTAAAGTACGACGACAATTAGTCCAGAATGCAGTTTTGCCACCCTTGTTCGCTTAATAGCCAAGACAGAACACAACAAGGCAGTCAGGAGACTTTAAACTCCGCAGTTCAGATTTATGACTCACTCATATAATATTATCAAGTAAAATTTTGACCACACAACAACATTATTAGGAGATTACAATATCAACATAATCACACCATAAGTGGGAGAGAAATGAGTGATAGGTCCATCATCAAATTGACAGTAATTTAATGAAAGTATAAGATCTAACAACAGCTTATGCATCACGAAAATGCTTATAGGCAAGATATTTAAAGTATTTCGTAAATGTGCCGAACACTAAGCTTTTGATATAACTCTCAATATTTTTATATGGTTTCATCAAGGCTATTGTTGACAATATGTTGTCTGTAATTTTTTAAACAGCAGCTCCAATGTTTTGTTTTTTTAGGTAAACAACAATGGATTCGTGAAGAGGCGTTAGCAAACATAGTTGCTGTTGAAGTAATCGATTTGCCTGTTTCAGAGTTTCAAGCGAAAATTGAAGAAGAGTTTAATCATGCAAGCAGTAAGTTAACTTGTTTCTACCAGTCAGTAAACTATATGAACAGGCTATTTGACTTGTTTTCCTTCTTTTTATCTCCCGTAATTTTTTCTTTTTTCTTAATTAAAAAGTATACCACTGAAAGACTATGCTATACTACTATAACCACCGGAACAAACCTATTGAGATCATGAACCGATTGGTGTTAGACCACAGTTGGAAACCTGGAAGCACTGGACAACCGTTTCGTCCCATTTTGGGATTCCTCAGCAGTGCGCACCCATGATCCCGCTCTCGGGATTCGAACCCACGGCATTCAGTCTCGCACGCGAACGCTTAATCTACTGGACCACAGAGCCGGCATCCAATGGTGTTTATGTCTGACACCAACCAATCCACGAAATTGCGCGATTAAACAAAATAAACATGTCCGATTAAGAAAATGTTTTCAACAACCCAACTTTAGGCTACCTCAGCATACACGAAAATATTAGATACTGCACATTTACTGCAAATTAAAAAGCGTATAGATAGTCTCTTACGGCAATTGAATTGTTAAACTCTTTCTTCAGCAAAACGCAGATTAGTTGAAACTACAAGACAATACAACTTGTCCGAATAAGAAATCTATTAATGTAATAAATTCACTAACAGTCCCTAAATTTGAAGATTGGACTTTGGACCATGTTATTATTTTTCGTACTTTTTTAATCTCATGAATCAAAAACACATGGAAAAAATATACGAAAAAATTATACATCATCGCGATCATATGACATGTAACTAATTAGTTATAGACAATGTTTGGAATTTATCTAATATTGGTATCGGGGGAAGTGTATAAATTGTAGTATTTTTAATAGTTTGGATCACGAACTAATCTTAGATAAACCATTATAAAGAACCTGAAAGGATTGGATGACGATTTCATCCCAGTATAAGACTCTCTAACAATGCTCATTCATGACCACATATATGAGAGTCAAACCTAGAACCTTCGATCTCGCCTATGAACGAAAAGTTGTGCGTGTCAGTCATCGTACTATGGAGTTTCCATTCATCCCTCTTCGTATGCGAAGAATCCCAATTATTACAAAAGAACTAAATCCTAGATATAATATAATGGTGCACGAAAATTTCAAAATGCAGTTTACTAGTGAATACATATTGATGTAATTCAAACGAACCTCTGGTAAAAAGGTGGTAGGTATTCTTTGCCAAGGTCACAAGTGTTATATTTAGAAAAAAGTGAGTGTAGAAACGTTACGATCAGTTATTACATCTTATCTATGAAGAGATTGTAGAGATTGCTCAATTTTACTGAGTTAGGTTAGACAGTCAATGAAAGCTTGGAGAAGTATGATAGCTGTCCCTTACTAGTGTAGACTTCCTCAATATTGTGTCTTTATGACCCCACCACCGGGGTCGAGTTAAGGACCCCCAGTCTCGCGCGTGAGCACTTAACCTCTCGAACACTGGGGTGCATATCTGACCTCAACCATTTCACGATATTGCGCAATCCTCATCCATTGTCTGCGGTGAATGACTGTTCAGACCTGACATAGTTAGACTCCGCTGGTCACAGCTTCTCATTAGAACTTCAGGAATTGCATCTTGAAGCTAGTTACTAGTGTTCACATAATAAAAGAATTAGCTATCCAGTGCTTTCTGGTTTTCATTAGTTGTTGAACTTGGGTTTGGTTCGTTACATTGGTGTTAAACTAGTTGTTAAAAGTAATTTACCTATTGTAATTGGTGTTCTGATACTGTGGGAGAGTTCCGAATTATGTTCTCCATTTTTTCCTGTTTCGTTTCAACAGACAACATTCTGGAAATGTTTATTCAACGCTTAAAAACACAAATGTCTCAATTAGTTGTAAGTTATTGATTTCTGTTACTTTATCTACAGTTTGTTTGATTTTTTGTATAGAATACTCAAAGTAAAAAGTTTTAATTTTCCATGATTAATCAACTGTTTCCTTTGTAGGGTTAAGCTCTAAACAATTAATGAATTTTCAAGTATCGTATGTTCCGATAGCAAAAAACAAAGTGATTATCATATTTCTAGTACATGGCGAATATTGAGCTTAGCCGAACTTCCGAAACTTTTCTACCAGAAACCATTGTTAGTTTTTTCTTCAGTATGAACTGGAAGAGGTTGTTGGATTTCAATAAAATCATATATTGATCTATGTTAGACAAACGTTGAAAACATGGAAATGCAGTCGTTTCATCCTAGTATGGGACTCCTCGGCAGTGGCAAATCCACGATTCCGCACATGGTGATCAAACTGAGGTCTTTAGTCCCGCGTACGCACACCTAACCTCTTGGCCATTCAGCTGCCATCCAACGGTGGTCTAGAAGCTAGGCATTTGCAACGCCCCTAGTTTGACTCCTCTGTGTAGGATCATGGATTTGTATCTCTGCGGACCTGTTCTTTGTCCCATCGCATAACATGTAATAATAATATAATTAATCTTGTAAATTGTTTTCTCTTTTAACTGATTTTAGAGCGTTAAATAGTTTGGAGAATTAATTACCATATTTAATTTTTACGCTCTCAAAATATTTCTAAATTTAGCTTTTTATTTCAAGTTATTTATTGAGTTGTATGTCTCTAGGTGGAAAAAAACCTTTGTCTAAATTAGTAGGACATTATCAGAATACCAATAATTAATTGCCTGAATAAAGTGATAAATAGTAGCTTGCAAAGTTTTCTATTTTCGTTTATTTACTCTATCATGACAAGTAAAAAGCTTTGTGATATTTATAATACTACTTACGTTAATAATGTTGAAGATGCTAGATACCCAGAAACCACTTGACAAAAGTCTCATTTTGGAGGTGTGGATTTCTCCTTTCCGCGTGAAAGCACTCATTTTTATCTTCAGATTGTATTTCACACTTGGAAGGACCTTAAATATCATTGGTTCATCTCCTTTTTTAGTACTCTATTTTGTGACGTTTTCTAAGGGCAGGTTTGTACTGTATATACGCGCATGAGTTGTGTGCTTGTTTGTTGATGCTTCCGACGGCTTGTGGAATATATATATGTCCATATTATATTTATTTTATCAAACATATTTAGGTATGGACGAAACATTGGATTTCTAACATGCCAAATTTATTCATGACTATACTGTCGTCATCGAAATTAACCACTTCACTTTTCAAGTATTCACCCAATGGTGATCTATCAAAACGTAGAGTGCTACCATCATCTTCTCCTTCTTCACATGACTATTCATCAAATGATCCATCATCTTTGTCAAGTTTTTCACATAGTTTTCCACCTAGATGGCAATTCTCATCACAAATTCCTTCTCTACACATCAATAATACTATTGACAATGTAGATGGCGATAAGCTAAATTTTTATAAATCATCTGAAATAGATCCCAAAATAACGTCATGGGATGAAAAACTTACACGTGATAATTTCAATGTTCATAAAATGTTGGTTGTAGCTACTTCAGTTGGAAAAGTAAGTGTTCTGATTACTTATTTAATTGTGAGTTATCATTTCTAGAGATTTTATGGAAATTGTTTTTCTTCCTAATGGTCAATATTAACTGACTGTCAAAACGTCATCAGTACACCATACTGCATACTGAGTGACTAATGTATTGTACTTTGATCTACACTTGTCATATTTAATGATATTGTAGTAAAACTAAAAAACCGATTAGTTGATAACAAGATCTGTCGAATTTAATTATCGCTTTTTGTTAGTTTTATTTTCTACAGTAAGTGTCACTGAATTCATTATTGACTGTAAAACTTAGTATGGTTATCCAAATTTCTCTAAATGATTTCTAAAAATAATTTTCTTGAATATCATATCGTGTTATCAGTCAAAGTTGCCCGCGTACACAGCTTTGACCAACTATACGCTCTAATTGGCATGATTAACCTATATTTGAGGCTGCGGATCATATCTCAGACGCAGCAATTTGTTCTTATCTTAAAATAATCATTTCTATTTATTATTCCTCGTTTAGAATGTACATATTTATATTACTCTGGATTGTTTGGAGTACATTTAGCACCCTGACTGTTTCGACTGCGAAAACGTTAGTCCATATCACTTGATAAGTTTCATCACCAATAAGAATCTTGGAAATTTTCATACACGTTATTGTCCTGACCTTTATATGCATGAATTATCAGACGACAACTCACCCTTAATGAGGAATTATACTTTTAATATAATTAATATAGCGGTGCAGAGCGACAGTACGGAATTATTTGACAATAATTAAAAATAATAAGTCGTATAACACTAGTTAATAGGTCCTGCTTCGGTTTGGGCACGCGGGCAGTATCACAGCCCTCACACATATCGAATGAGATTTGTGTGGCGCATATGTATTTGGTGCTTCCTTGTTCCAATATCTATGTGTGCTCCCACTGGAAGTATAACATGCATGGTATATAGAAAAATAATAATCTAGTTATCCAATAATCATATAATTAAAACATAATGATAATTCGTCTCAAAAGTTCGATTGTCTTCAATGCTCAATACGTTTCAACAAATAACCTACAATTTGTAAACCTAAAATATTCTTACGTTATTTCATACGATATATATATGTAGGTCGTTTGTTTAGTAAGTACATGAATTAAGGTCATGTAAACTCCTATTTTATCAAATTTAATGCACAACAATCCCATCTCTTTCAAATTATTTCTCATTTAACCTCAATACACTTTTTCTATCACGATTATCATTGTTCAGATCATCTTTGGAAGTCCTCAGATATCACTCTCTGACCTTGCATATCATCCTAACATTCTCTACTTTGGCATCCGTCAAATTTCTTGATTCAGGATTTTGTGAACCAAGATATTGCATATGAGATCACAAAAAGCCCTATCTGTTATTCTCAGCTGTACATTAAACTGGGCAAGCTTCACTGTTAGGCGTGTTGAGACAAATAAAACGGACTTTAAACATCATTTTGTTTATTCTTTATCGTGTTTTAAATGATATGTATCCTCATTATGGCATAGTTCTTTTCTCCAGCTTTTTTAAACAATGAAGATTTCGTGACCATAATCTTTTTTACTTGTCATCTTAAACTATTTTTTAGCTGTTTGGTTTAGAAAGTGAACGTGGACGTATTGTTTGGGATTATTTTGTCCCATCTGCAAAACTTTTAGCTAATGGAAAGCTTGCCCTCTTCCAACAGCGTAATTTGGCTCATTTTCCTTTACCACCTATCATGTCACTTTTATTTCGATCAAAGGTATGCTTTAATTCTACTTCCTTTAATTATATATATATATATATATAGTTTAATTGCATTGATGTATAGATCACAATTTCATGAGAACAAAACTATGTATATATCAGTATACCAATTTTTATGTGTTTAAATACATGAATAAAGTCATTGATATTTTTGTTATTTTTAAGTGTTTGGCGGCAATCTACAGAATGCTATGGACCTAGGTTTCATACTACTTACCACTCGTCAGAAAGCCATGTCTATAATGTTAACGGGAAATCGGTCATCAACACTAAAAATCATTTCATCGGTTACTAATCGGTGGTGAATTAGTTGTAAGAATCTCAGTCCTATAAGAGGTCAATTAAGACTTGAATAAATCAATGGTAAAGTTTTTGATGGATACCGGTTGTTTCAAACCTTATGGATAGCATCAATTTTCATTAAAAGTATAGATGTATCTTGATGATAAGTGGGAACTGACGCGATACCTTGATCAAAGGCATTCTTCCTATTTCCTCCAAACACTCAGCTTCTAAACATGATGAACCCGATGTTAAGTTACTTAGACTGATGGCCCTATTACAGCTTGCTCAATAGAATTTGTTGGGGATTAAGGATTAGATACAGATTATGTAATTAGTCTCGTTCAAAAATGTAATCAAAGCACTAAGTGACACATAGTCTCAACGGCGGCCTGCTTGAATATCTGGGCTACCTGTTTCTGCCATCTAATTATTTCAACAAGTCTGTTTTTTCATTTTGTTTTAACGTCTCATTATGTCCATTAATCGCATAAACTATACAGGTGCGTTTATGAAAAGCCTACTACCTTTCGCTGCACAAGTTACAAAAAAGTACTATAAAAGACATCGTGGTGGTTGGCAATATGCGTTAAAGAGAATGAACATTAATCGTATGTCGATTCCCGGGCTGCTAAATTCTAACTGCCGATCACTAATCAACAAAGTGGACTATCTTCAATTCCTACTAAGTCAAAATATGTATCTTTATTGTGGTGTCATCACAATTCAAGAGTCTTGGTTAAATGATTTACAAGACGACTGCTAGTATCACTACGTGATTTCAAAATTTATCGTCAGGATCGATCAAACAATGAAAAGAGGTGTAGCGGCGGTGTAGCTACGTTTGTAAACATGAACTGGTGTCGATCTTCGTTTGCATGTTTCAAGTTTTCAAATGACTTTATCGACTGTCTAACTCTAAGATGTCGTCCAAAACATCTGAATAAATACAAATATGTTTACGTTACCAATATCTACGTGACTCCAGACTGCACATCATCTGCACTATCTGTTTTCGCTGAATTCATTGAGTTCGCTGTTACTGCTCCAGTGATTCACTTTCAGTTGTATGTGGTGATTTCAATTCATGTGACTGTAGCTTCCTTACGTCACTAGGTCACCAAAATGTATTAGATTTTCCTACCCGTTTGGATGCTCATTTAGACTTCGTTTTCATTAATGATGTGGGTATATATGCGACTCGTAAACGTGCTCCATTGTCTAGCTCGGATCACTGTATAATTCGTGTTCTACCTAAAGTATATGGAGAGCATGGGAAGAGTACACTCTTACAAGTAGCGCAAATTCACATTCTCAAACCAAGAAAGTCAAATATAGGAATTACTCAGAAGAAAATATCCGAAATTTGAAAAACATGTTTCATACGACTAACTGCGAATTATTTACAGATGACCCACTGGAAATCACTACTAATGTTATCACTTGTTACCTTAAATTCTGTTTTGATATTTGTTGTCCCACTGAAACCATTTTTGTAAGTTTTGATCAATTTACATCTACACAACTAAAACGACTATGGAGGGATAAAGAAAGAATGTACAAGGAGAAGAACTCTAATGAAGTTCGTAAGCCAAATGGTCTGATAAACTTAGAGGTTAGACGTCTCAACTGTATGTTTACTCAAAAACTCTTGGCTTACAAAAACTCTCCAAGTATGTGGAAACGCTTTAAAGAACTTACAGGTAACAGACAGTTTAGAAGCGATAACCAGCTGAATGTCTGTGACTTAAATAAGTCTTTTGTACGTCAGTCATCTGACGTAATGCTCCCTTTATCCACAGGTTTAAACAATAGCTGTGTTCCTAGTTTCACTGAAACTGATGTCCGAAGATGTATCCAGTCACTTAATTCATCCCGATGTTTGGGACTTGATGGTATCCCAAACCTCCTTTTTAAAAAGTGTACTGACGTCCTATGTTATCCATTCACGACTATCTTTAACAGATCCTTCTCATCTAATCTCATACCGAAAATGTGGATAAAGATGAAGATAATTCCTGTACCCAAGAAAGCATCTGGTGATAAGAATGTAAAATTTAGACTTATTGCAATAACTTCACCCTTCCTCAAAACAATGGAAAAATTATTAATACTTCCATTCCAGCCTGCGATAGAAGAGCATATTGATTCATATCAGTTTGCTTACAGATGCAAAAGAAGCACTTTAGATGCTGTTGCTGTTCTGCATCACAACATAGTGTTCAACTTAGAAAAGGGTAAGAAGTATGTTCGATGTGCTTTTCTGGACTATACTTCAGCTTTTGATTCTATACCAAGACAACGTTTACTTAGCAAGTTAATCAGCGTCAACACTGACAGCTGGATAATCAACTGGCTATGTTCCTACCTCTCTGGAAGGGAACAGTACACTTTGTTTGGAGGAAAGTGCTCAGAGTCTCTACTGTCTCATGAAGGTGTACCACAAGGAGCTGTTCTTCCACCCCTTTTTTTCTCTTTTTTTTCTGCATGATCTGCCATCTTTCACAGAAAAAAGTTTGTGAAGTATGCGGATGATCTCACTGTATGTATGCCTATCTCTTCCTCTTTACATCCCATAGAAATGAATGAGTTTTTGTCTCGTATTGATTGTTGGTCTGTTGGTAATGGTCTCATACTTAATCCGTCTAAATGTCAAGCTGTTAACTTTAGCATGAGACATGAACGGAATTTAAACACCATTTTGAGATCCCATAATGCTTGTAACATTGGAGGCTCTTTGATAAACACAGTGTCGAAGGTCAATTATCTTGGTGTCATCTTTTCCTCTGATCTCTCTTGGTCTTCCCACGTTTTATTGTTATTGAAGAAGGTTTTCTGTCTGACTTATTACATAAGGAGGTTGCATGCTCTTGAGATTACTCGTCATTTACTCTTACAATTTGTCAATTCTTGCATATTACCTACTATCCTTTACTGTTCTCCATTATTCTTTCCCGGCTTTTGAGAAAAGACTACTGTATTGCGGAGAGTGCTGAAGGCAGTTAGCAAGGTGTGTGGTGAATTTTTAGAGGTCATAATTAATATGGTTGTGGACAGACATCTAGAGTCATGCAAACTCCTGGCAGGTGTTATTTTATTAGATACTAACCAACCCCTTCACTCCTATCTTTCTTCTTGTACATCTTATGGTAGAACGAGACGTAATTACATTAAAATCCATGCACGCAATTAAAAGTATAAAAGTTCTTTAATACCTTACATAGCAAATGTACTCTGTGACGAACAGGTTGTTAGAGTTAACCTAGTCTTAACATGTCTCTAATTTGAAAAGTTGTACAGCTTTTTTTCAGATTTTCTTTGAAACCTTTTTTCCCCTTTTTTGTCTTTGTTTCTGTTTTTTGTGTGTAAGAAACTTGTTGAAATACCCTGTGCTGAGAATTATATATTGTACCAAAATATAATACTGAATAAAGCCATTAATAATAATAACATAATTTGCAAACCTTTTTCATCTTCTTTTGTAACTAACTCTCGTAGATAGCGCTATCTAAACTATCTTACTCAATAACACAAGGGATTTGTAAATTACGAATAGTGTTTATGGACTAGCAATATTAGATAGTACGTAGTCCATTTAATTCCACTCTGGTTGTTCACTGAAAGTGGAACTCGCAGTGTTTATCGCCAATAAAATCAAGTATGTTCACTGCCCATCCTCCCAAGAGAGTGTGGAACATTTGTTCCTATCAAATTTTTAGTGTAAATTTTCTCTGTTAAAAATTTATACTCATTGTTTATCTCTTTCCTCATGACATTTGTTGACTCTTAAAATTTTCACATTATCCCATTAAATTGTTTATTCGTAGATTACAAATCGACGGGTACTTTTCCCATTCAATCCAATTACTGGTGTTCCATCGCATGAAAAAGGTATGGATTTGTATGCATTGAAATCGGATATTATTCAAACTGTCTTGGAACCTGGTTCTTTAAGCGAACGATGTGAATTTATTAGACCTTTGTTGTTGTTGAGGGCCGATTTAGACGTAAGTCAACTTTGAACTTCAAACATCCTTTTGCACAATATGTTGTGACAGGTATTAAAAAAGAATGACTTTTAAAAATAATATTAGACAAAAATTGGTATTAACGCACTAGTAATTCCTATTCAGAATCAATCGTAGGACTTTTAGGTCTCATGATTAAAGCGATTCCACAACTGAACCAATAATCAGTTGGGTCTATACACTGTTGTAAACAATAGAAATCGGTCTTTTTCAGTTTTTTGTCCCCACTCTTTTTTATTACTATTTTGGCTGAGAAACGTAGCCTATGAAGTAGAAGGTGCACGTAGACTTCAGATACTTAATCATAGGCGTTTCGCAAGCTTAATAAAACGACTGGATAATCAACGTTGATGTTAGGGGTAAGATACTTTGACGAATCGATTTTCGAGACTGTGGATCTTCATCGACTTTGGGCATATATCTCGGCGAGAAATTTTGGCTGGAGTTGAAATTGTTTGGAAGGGAACTGGGATGCCCCCCTGCCATTGTATGAAATTACTGACTGTTGGAGAGGACTTTGTTGGTAGGTGGAAATTATTTGGTTTTGATACTCGAAGTAAAGGCGATTGATTGTTAGTCTTGAGTAACATGACACAAGATCAGTGACCATTGTCCAAATACGTGTATTCTTTTTTCCCCTTAATCTTCAACCTTAATATATTTTCATACTTTCCCGTATTCTCTAATGCTAATTCTTACTGATTGTTATGAGTACTACTATTATTTCGACTCTCTTGATATCCCTCCTGTCCATTGCATTCCGATAAACTTATGGTATGGCAATCTGGGATGATGCACAATGATCCCAGCTCTACTTTAGTTGCTTAATTGACTGAACGTTCTCTTTCTATACTTTAATTAACGGTTATATGATATGAGTTGATTTCTCTGTGTTTATTACATTGAGTGATCGCGATCAGCTAAATGTAGAAATGTCCAACTGCTCAACTGTATTGAGTACTTTAATCAGTCTAAGTAAACTATCTTTAATCACTAGTCCTAAAAACTTTCAGATTTATCAGTTTTGTAGCGTTAACCTTTAAAAAGGATTATTGCTAGATACACCGAGGCTGCTGTGTCAGGTGTAAGGTGCTCACTGAAGACAATAAAAGATGGTCGCTCAATGTAGGTTGATTGGAGTCAGACTTCTAAGCCTTTGTATCTCGGCTCAGTGCTCTAGAGCCATGGGTTCGATCTCCGTTTGCAAGGTCGTAGGTGAGTACTGCCGAAAAGTTCCACACTAGGACGAATCGGCCGTCCAGTACTTCCAGATTTCCAATAGCTGTATAACTTAGATAGGTTCATGATTTCAATTAAATTCAACAGTCTCCACGACCCCATACTAACATTTACTTCTTGTTTATCGCCACTAGATCTCAATAAAGTTATTGGTAAGATTTGCTGCTTTTCATTTTCCGTTAAACCATTTTTGGAGATTGAAGGACCTTATAAACTAGTGGTTGACGATAACAATGCCGTTGATTGTCTAGACAGTTAGTATAAATCGCAGTAAAAAAAACCGTTTCTAATGTAGATTCATTAAAATTGTTATAAATCCTGTGTTTTTATACCTGAATTCATTAATAAAATCTTTTCAATATCGTAATTTGTTTGTAAAGTTTTTCACATAAACAAATGTCATCTTTACAATCTTCCTTTTTCTGTAAATAATAAATTTTAAATTTATAATACGGTGGTGTACATGTTTAATAACACTGGATGCTGGGCCAGATATATGAAAGTTAACATTCTCAGTGATTTCTGAATATCATTGCTTCAACCCCAAGTGGGGTCGTGGATGCTCACTTACGAGGAGTCCTATACTAAAACAAAACAGCTGTCGTGTATTTCTGTCTTTAATGGTTATCTAACTTAAGTTGGTTTGTGATCTCAATACCACACAGTAATAATTAATTATTGATTCAATGATCTTGAAAAATCCATCTGATTATTACAGGTTGAAGTTTATCCATCTACTTGTGCCGCTACATATTCATCATCGGATTCACAGCCTTTATATATTTTTACTATTGAAAGTGAACAAGCTCGTCTTACCGGTTATCGGATAGATCCGGTATCTTCAGATGGTAAATCTTTAAAAGCTACACGTGTCTGGCGAATGTTATTGAGTCCTGATTCTAGTCCAGCTAACAAGCACATCATTGTCTCTGCAGCTTCACGTCCACCTTCTGGTATGATTTTACATTTATATATTTCAATTACTTTTTGTTTTTTACGATATTTCATTGTTTACGAGTTTTTTTTATCACATTCTCTTATTTGAGTAATGAGTTTATTCACTTTTTTTAAGTGGAAAAATATCCAAGTAAATAGTTTTACAAGCTTAACATTATTGTTTTTCCATTACTGTTGGTGTATTGTCATTGTCTTCATTGCATTTTGTGTCTTATTCATGCCATTTTGATGTGCCGGTGTGAAATATAGGGACCATAATCGATTCAGATTTGTTTAATGTTCTGCTTTTTTTTCATAGTTCACCTCTTAGCTATCTAATTAATAAACACTGATTATCTCAATCAGTCAGTTGAATGTCGGCATAGATTCTGGCATAAAAAATTGTGCATTGGCTTAAGTCCCCATAACAATAATCAATTTGCACAAAAATCTAGTTTTTTAGCATGATCAAATAATCCATTGAGTGTCTTTGATAAAATGTTCATTTTAAGCGTGTTATTCATCATCTGATTAGGTCTTGTTGAAACATCTAGATTTTTGTCAAATCATAATTTAGTCATAAATTCAAATTTACACTATTCATAGTTTCCTTATGTTTTTGTTTTCATTAAATTTTATTTCATTTTATTTTATGTTTCAGAACATATTTATTCAGTTGGTCGAGTATTGGGTGATAGAAGTGTTCTTTATAAATATTTAAATCCTAACCTCATTGCAGTACTTACTATTGGTGGTGATATCAGCAGTCATACAAATTCTCTGGTAATTTATTTAATTGATGTTGTAGCTGGTCGAATATTGTATAGTGCTGTACATCGTCGATGTTCTGAACCTATTAGTCTAGTGCATTCAGAGAATTGGATTATTGTAAGTTGAACAAATACTGTTTGCCAGATATTCTATATTATTTTGAATATATCCTTTGTACGCTTGTTTATTTTTGGGACTGCCCAGTGAGCAATGGTTAGGTTTATGTATAGTGTACTAATTAAATACAAGAAGTTGATTGATAACGTAAATCTACATCAACTGAAGTAGTTGAGACATATTGTACGTATATTCAACCATTGCCGACGTTAACAAGCGTTATTGTCCGGTGTAGGAGTAGGTTGAAAGTAAGCTATGGGTAACCAAACCAAGATGTTGGTACCAATCTATCACTGACAATTGGACTCAATCATGTTAACGGATATAGACTACTTGATTTAGGTTCGTTTGATTATCATAATCAATAGTTAGAGACTTAGGGTTTGAAATGATGGAGATGCATTCATTTTTCTCTTCTCTTAGAATCTGAATCCCGAAATGCATCTACTTGATTGTGAGCAATTCTAAGCTGTGTCATCCATTAGTTTTGATAACCACATGGACTTCAACTAGGTATCTTACGCCATTCAACGATATCTAGTCCAATAGTCAATGACTTCCTGTACTGGTACGATGTTTTATTTTGGCCACCTCTAGCTACAAACGACACTGTTCTTTATAGACACTACTTGTTAATTTGTTAAGTTTGTTTTCCTGTTTACGGAGTACTATTTTGTATTAAAAGAAAATTGTACAAAGAAGCTTTATAAAATTTTATACGTTATATCATTGCTATGATCGATAATTTTCTCGGCTTATCTCACCAAAATATCTAGGTAACGGAATGTGAAATTGTTACATACCAATGTAATCCATTTTTTAAATTAGTAATATAATTCATTACACAAGTACGTATTCATATACTTAGCTTTGAACCATATTTATCTGTTTAGCGGATGTTGATACCTTACTTGGATGCCTAAATATAAATCAAGATTTTAACATGTGGACCTTACTAGCTGAACGACTTAAACACGAACACTGCTGTTTATACATTATGACTTGTTTGCAGTTATGTATAGCTACACGTTCCAACAAGCAATACTATGTGAATAATTAGTGATTTTACTTGACTAATGAAGGTTTTATCTTGTTAGGAAATGTCTTATAATTAGTCGATGAAACTTTAAATGTCCTACTATTTCAATATTACTGTTTTGTTTAAAATACCATGCAAAATTTCTTTCCATACTTTTTCCCGGTACATTGTTGTGATGTTTTTTCCCTTCAAATTTCTCTAAAGTATACTTATTATAATCATAAATCATTACGCAATGAAGCCACCGTTATTGAATTATATGAACCGACTAAATTATCCGGGGAATTATGTGCTAGTCAGTCAATTCCAAGCCCTTGGCAATTATTTCTCAGCAATCTTATTCCTTCATGGCTGTTATCTAATCCAAGTTCATCAAAAGGATCTGGTGATTTATCGGGTTTTTCACGTTTCTCATCTTTGTTCCGTGCTAGTGATGTTGATGGTTTTTGTGGTTCAACTGGTGAAAATTCTTTAATACCTCAAGTTCTACAACAATCTTACATACTGAACACTCCACCACGTAGTGGTGCAGTGACTGTTTCAGTTACTGAGAGAGGAATTACCGCTAAGAATATAATTCGTGAGTAAAAATGGGTTTTGTTTCGATTCTCTATTTAAAGTTTACATTATTTTAGTTGTCTCTGTGGCTCATGTCTGGGGCGTTAATCGATATTATTTGCTAGATTCACCGATTGGAATTTTGACTACTATTCCTCTACCTCCGCGTATGCTGTTCGGTCTATCTATAGCTTAAAACCCTTAGCTTTGACCAATGATATGTTCGGAGCGGCACGATTAACCATAAGCTGGGGTTAACCTAAGCTTAACTTCTATCGGTTTGTTAATCCCCAGTCCTGAGTTCGAAGAAGAGAAGACAACAGTCAAGCTTTGTTTCTTACGTTTCAGTCACCCAATATATCTGTTTCAAACATGGTAAAAGCAAACTGTACTGACGACCTTGAGAGACTTATTTGCCTATCAGGAAACAGTGTTCAGTTATAAAACAATTAATAATTAGAGGAAAGAAAATAAGTGACAAAAAGTTTTGTCATGAATAATTAACCTTTACGTGTTGAATCACTTATTATTGTAATAAAAGAAGGCTAAATTTATATTATTAAATTTAGGGTTGTAACCCTGTGAGGTTTTTGTCTCCAACTTACATCAACTATAATAAAATGATGTTTCGTCATTCTTTTATTTACAAACTTAAGAAATCTAATGTTGAGATTCGGAGTTAGGAGTTAGCGTAGGAGAATACTGCTAAGTTACTCAAACAACCTTAACTAAAAATACAAATACATAAAGTGCTCCAACATGGAAATTTTATCAAGAGCAAGGGTTTATTGTGATTTAGCTTCAGCACAATGTCAATCATCGATTGGTTGCATAAAAGACATATGCACCAATTTCACCTATTCTATAAACTGAATATTAGCTATTTTCGCATCGTTAATAAAAACAAGTTATCTTTCGCTGCGCTTTAGATTTCAACCAAAAGTTTATGAGTTACTATCGTAACTCGGATTAACCATTGGTATACCATACCTCCACCCTCAAGCACTTGTTCGTTCGTACATGTGAATTATCAGATCACAACACACCCCACATAAAAAGTCATTCCTTACATACAATCATGCCGTTAATACTAGAGAATAGAGCAAATGATACATAACTGGTTAACAATAATAAAAAATAATCTATTGTATAGAAGTAGTTGATAGGTTCCATGGAAGATTAAAATACAAGTAATAAAGAAATCTAATAATTCGTAATTTGATCTCAAGAATTACACTTTCTTTAATATCCCCTTCTGTTACAACAGTAGTTAATTAATCTTCGCATTTAATATTCTCTAGCGCTTATACATGAAGATCATTTTCCAATGTGACATGTCTTCAAGACAAGTATTTAGGTCATGCAAACAATTTCCAAGTGACTCGTTTTCTTTTTCTACAAATTTCCCATGAAGTTATACAGAAAGACATGATATTCTTATTGTATCATGTTGTTTTTAGCATTGATTATCCATAAATTATGATTTTAACTGGGAATATTTTGTAAGTACCTGTTATAACTTGTGCCTTGTTTATTGCATAACTTAACGATACCGCCAATTAGAGAGCAGTGAATTATCGATCGGACCAAGGACGCGTAAAACCCGTACGAGCAGTCTAGAGTCCTTATTGGTCCTGCTTTCCACCTAGCCCATCCAGTTAAGTCCAGAACACCAATCTCAGCCTCTGCAATATAAATCATTTATTTTTAAACATTATCCATTTATTTGTTATCTAAAAGCATAGTTTAGTTTTAGTATTTACGCATTATATTTTCAAATTAGGTTGAAAAGTAGTAGATATAATTAGTCTTAAATAAACTCTGGAAAATATAAACAACAGTGTACTTTGAAAAGTGATGCATGTAAATTTATTTTTTACAAAAATACTAAAATCTTGATTTCGTTGACAGTAAAAAAAATCACTCATTTATATCTACTTAAAATTGTATTTTAAAGAAGAGGATGTTTCAAGAAATTATCTTGAATCAAGCTTTATTTTAGTCTCTAGGTTGGTTGAAAGGTAGATGGTACAAGAGGGCACCAAATAGAAATGCGCCACACCATATTTGTGTGTGTGTGTGTGGGGGGGTTGTGACCTTTTCATATATTAAAAAAATGTGTAAGAATATTTTATTTTTCGAGAACACTTGAACGTTCATTCTTTTCCTAGAATTATTGAATAAATTTATGTTATCTTCGATGACTGATCCTATTTCTTATGTTGGATGTTGCTTCCGTTTTTTAAGCCAAAACCACTACATTTGTTAATTCTCAAAGATTAATTCCATATCAAGGCTGGTATGCAAGTATATTTTGAAAAAATCAGATTGATAATGAAGTTTAGTTAATCTGATCCTTTTTTCTTCATTTATTTCCACACTTAAAGCAGATGCGTTAATCTATTTCTAGAAAATTTATCGAGATATGGTTGAGGTAGTTGACAGGAAGCCGTAGACTTAGTTTTTGTAGTTGTAAAGACTTGTCAGTGAGATATACCTGAAATTTTAATGACAGTGGTGCTTCTTGTGGGACTCGACTTGCGTTACCTAGATTCACAATCTGAGACAGTATCTCTGGTTTATTTAAATAATCTGAGACTGTGAAATCAGGTGACGCATATTGAGTCCTAGAATTGAGCTATCTCTCGATTTTCACTTATTTTGACTTTTTTTAAAAATATGTTCGCAATAATGTCGCTGAAAATTTTTCTTTTATATTTTCAGTGGCTTTACAGAGAAATAGTCTAATTGAACTCCCGAAATCATTTTTCGATCCCCGTCGTAGTTTGGATATGACATCTGAACTAATGTAAGTACTCTAGAATTTTGTATTACTGTCCCGTGTTATTAGTTTGGAGATAATGTGGTTTGTATTATTCAACGATACCATATGTCGTTTTTCAAGTGGTTGAGACCAAATTTTCAACCGTTTTTATTTTGTTTCCCAATAAGATTTTTGTTTAAAGATGCAGGACTATAGGTCTACGAAATATGTTGTTAAAATTGCATTCAAGAACATCTGTTGAAGATGATGTGTAAGTTCTACCTACATTTGAATAATACAACGTAGGAGTTAAAAATTTCTCGTAATGAATCGGCTAAAAAAACTAATTACTCTCTTTTTTAAATATTCAACCGCTTCGTTACCTTCTAGTAACCCTTTTAAGTATCTACTTATAATCCGTTAAATACTTCATAGCAAGCGTCTTATTCATAGCTTTCTTTCCCTATTACGTGACTACTCCTTTTAGTGATTAAAATGATTATGTATTTTCTGAAAGGGTGATAACGCAACATCAAAGTTCATTAATAACGTGACAATACGAGAGTACATGTTGAATTTAATGCCCTCTTTGTAAATGCTAATTTTTTTTAATGTTCCAGGGAAGAAGGTGTTCACCCTTATGCTCCTGTACTACCATTTTCCGATCAAGCTATGATTACATATAATCAATCAATTATGCGAATTCGAGCTATTCGTACAGCACCTACCGGTTTAGAGTCCACTGGATTAGTATTTGCATATGGATTAGGTAAGTATGTAATATATTCTTAGTAAGTCGGTAGCTTTTTTTGTAAGTGTTTTCCTCCCACTTTTATACTTATTCTGTCTACGAACTAATTCTTTCTTCCTATACTATATCCTTATTGCAACCTTTGACCTAACCACTCCTATGAATCCGCTGTTCATCTTGCTGTGCTAATGAGGTATGGCAACCTGGACCGATGCACATATGTGCCTGGTCCTACGTTGTAGCTGACTGACTGAGTTATTGAAAACGTTTAATTTTGTTTCAGCTATATAATTAAACTGTTGAATTTGTAGAATGACACTTGAAGTGAAGAGTTTGCTTGTAATGAATCAGATCTAATCTCTTGTGTAAATGAGTTTCGTTAGCATGTCTTTAATCTTATTACTATTAATATAGGTAGGTACATCAACTGAGATGGCTGTGCCACATATTACGCATGCTCAACTACCACGGCGCGCAATGAGGTTTAGTGTTAAAGGCGAATAAAAGAAGGTTAGTGGTAGCCAGGCCAAAACATGGCATCAGTCCATAAAGTCACTAACTTCTGGTCTGAGCCATATTGGTAGATACAGACTACTAGTTTGGTGTCCGCGCTACTATCTTAGTCATTGGTTGGAGATCTGGGTGACATGGATCAGAATCGGTCACGATGATGTAGGTGTATGCACTGTTTGTCTGTCCTTAAACTAACTGTGAGATTAAAATTACTTCATACTTTTCTTTCTGCGAACCGGTTCTCTTACTCTGTATCATATCCTCATATGCAATTTTTACTACCATTGAAGTAACCACTTCTATGAATTTGATGATCATCTTGTGCTAATGAAGTGCGGCAACTTTGACCGATGTATATATGTACCTGATCCTACGTTGTAGCTGACTGACTGACTGAATACTAGTAGTGGTACGTTAGTGTGTCTTAAATTAACACAACGTTAATTTGTGTATGTTGGTTGAAAAAATTCAACAGGATACGAATTACATACAAATTTGCATCCCTCATCCCACTTTACATACATAATCTTTTGAAATTCCGATTGAAACATTGTACAAGATCTTTCTATAAGTTTACCTTAAATCCCACCTATCGTTCAAAACTTAGCCTCACTGTAGACTACTGGCGACCATCGATGATTATCCTTATACAAAATTTGTCTATTTTTTCTTCATTATAACATGACGGTGACGATGATGTTGGGAAACTTCTCAATTTGATCTCCCTTATTCAATATTGTTTTCTTTCTCATATTTCAGATTTGTTTTTCACTCGAATATCACCTTCACAAACATATGATTTACTTAAAGAAGATTTCGACTATACTGCAATAGCTACTGTCACATTAGGAATGATAATTGCTTCCATCGTATCATGTCGTTTAGCCACAAGACGGGCAATTCTTAGAGCTTGGGCTTAATTTCTAGTTCATATAGATTTATTTGATTTTTTCGTTTTTTTTCTTTTTGTATGCTTATGAAAAATAGTTGTTTCATCTATGTATGATTTATTTGACCAGTATAATTCTTCTTTACATTTGTAATATTTTGTATATTTTTGTCAATGTTATGTATGTATAAATAAATGTATTCTCATTCATATGAATTCTGTTTTGTTAATGGTTTTTGTTATATCCAGATCTTGAATTTTCGCTCTACAGTGAACAACTTGAGCACTAGAACGCTTGAACCATCTAAGTCGCAAGTTAAAAGACAGAAGACCAGTGGAAAGAAATCTCATTCCAATCACTGTCAGATATGTTACAAAAACACTTGGGTATTCATAGCTTTTAGTAAAATGAAATCATCATAACAATCATCCAATCCATACAAAGTGGTTTTTAGCATCTGTCTAATGAGGATGCTACACGTTGAGATTCTGGAATGCTCTTCTAAACGATGATTAGATGGACTGTCTTCGGTTCTTTCGGAACTTGAGTTCACCGGGAGCCGTTTCTACACCTCCGCTCTTTAAAGTGTCTTATGTAAGACTTTCCGCTTGGGCTCATTTGAGACTTCTCAATCACACTCCTCTTGAAGGTTGTACTGTTTTGCCCTTTCGTCACCTATGTCTTCGGCTTTTGTTCTCCTCGGGTCTTTTTTAAATAAGTGCACATGCATTTGAAACGTCATCTTTGTGTAATCGTTAATCTACTATCCCTTTAGATTTAATTGACATGTCTTGTAGAGGTCCCAAAACGTATGCGAACTAAGTACAGTATTTTTTCAACCTGAGATTCAATAACACCCGGTTCCTACTTTCTATTACCTTGATAAGTACCTTTTCTCCCACCTGGAAGCTGCGATTGACCCTCTAATATTCGTTTGTGAGTTTATTTGTCGTCCTGGGTGGCAACATAATAAAGGCTGTCCGAACTTTCCGGCACTTTCAGATTAGGTGTGACCTCGTAGGACACGAACTAGAATACCTTATCTCCATTTTATCAGAGTCCTTTTTATCGTACCCACGAATCTTTCTACTTGGTCATTCAATTACAGGTGACACGGAGACCGTGATGCGTAAACCCATTTTCACTGCAGAACCGTTTGAAAGAGGATGACTTGAACTGAGTGCCATTGTCATTTATTAAGATCTCTAGAAACACTAAACAAAAACCTTGACAATCTGTTGTGTCCTGACGTATAATTCCGGCCACTTAGTGAAAGCATCCTTAACAACCAACTAGTTTCTGCCGTGTATTGGATTAGCGAAATTAGCGTGTATTTTTTGCCAAGGCCCGTCAGGTTTCGGCCATGGGATTCTTTGCGACTTCTAGACAGGACCAACAGCTACGACACTTTTGTTCTATATCACAGTCCATTGACGGCCAGTATGCCTAACTCCGAGTCAGTGACTTCATCTTACTTATTCCCGGTGCCCACTGTGGAACTGTTTTAGAACTTGCTGTCGAATAATTCTGAGAGTAACAATATGGTGGCCAAACATGGTGCACAAATCGACAGTTCCCAGAAACTCTCGTCGAAGTGAACGTCACTAGTTAAGTATACAACGGCGAACGGTCCTCAGTGTATTATCCTTTTCACTAGCTTTAATGGTTTCGAACGTGACCGGCAGTCCCATAACCGCGTCTGTCAACACTGAACTTCAGCCTCAGCTTCTACAAGCAGCTCTTGTTTTGTATAGGAGCCAATTAATCTTGAGAGGGCATATGTCTGTCCGAAATCCGTTGTCGGTTGGTACTTTATCTTGAGATCATAGCCCTGCAGTGCAGTTGCTCATCGTTGCAGACGGTCCAGTGTAAACAGGGATACCCTTATGAGAGCATCCGACCATGTGCAGATTATTCGACAGGACTATACGAAGCACTAGAAGCTCACTAGTACTCTTCGCCCTTACCAGAAGACTTATTCGCAAAACTAAATAGGAAGAAGTACTTCTCAAAGTTAGACTTTTCAGAAGCTTACTTCCAGATTCCAGTATCTGAAGAATGCAAGCATTACCTGACTTTAAACACACATAAAGGATTGTTCAAGTGTAACAGGATCCGTTTTGTATTAAAGACAGCTTTATGTGATTTCACACCGTTTTCATATTTCTTAGTACAGTGGAAACCATCGGTTTACAAGACATACCAACTGAAGATTTCTTTTGTAAATTGTACCTGTGATACTGACTAAATTATTGTGATCATTTAACTATTTGGTTCATATGAAAATATGATGCAGGCCGAATGTGGTTTTTTTGCTGCGGATCAAAAGAATATTTTAAAAATGAGTCTGCTCACTATTTCACAGTCGTCAGGCTGTATTTCTGCCACTTCCTCACACCTAAAGTTTGACTTCTCATCTTATGTCCACTAATTAGTAGGTAGACTTATGTGGAAGGGGGGTAGATATGTTTATTACATCTTCATCTCTAAATGACTGAGGACTGTAATGGTTATTGAAGTTCAATAACAGTATTTCGGACTTTGTAGCTATTTGCAATTTAGTGCGCAGTACTATCTTGAAGTTGTCTACCGCAGAAGTGTGATTATCTGGAGAATCCGTTAACAAAACTTTTTTGGGGAAGATGGCAATATACATACCCTTCTCTTCATTGTTACAAACTGACAGCGATTACAGTGTTGCCCAGCTTTTATTTGTAACATTTTGAGAACAGCCCTTCCAGAGTTTGTGATGAACATGTCCTATCTAAAGTAAATGGGTGATTCTGATTACTGTATGTGAACACAAACCACCGAGACTGCACCTGACAACTTTTGTCCTTCGTGTTCGTTGGTACGAGGTGTCACTTATTCTCTATCATCGTATCTTGTGTGTTTGGACTACCTGCTTTAAAGCAATAAACTCTAAAACTAAATCAATGTCTTATTATTATTCCTCCGTAGGTGTTTTTCTAAGTTAGTTAAATTTCCTTTGTATTGCTGCACGGAGAACAAGTGTGGGGTAAAGCCCTCTTGGTGTCTACAAACAAACAGAAAACAACTAAGTTTTTATATAACTGCACTTGAAGATATTACGTACGCCAGTTGACATGTGTTCTTTGGTCAACATGAGTGAAATACCATGATTTGTTGTGATTAAAAATATAGTGACAAACTGCTCTAATGATATCCACACTTCAAACACAATCGTAGTCGTGAAAACCAAATGTCTGAACTGACAAGTGCTTTTCGCTCTCGACATCCCCATATATTGACGTAATTATTCATATTCTTACCGAAAACGTCATGCTTACTTGAGCTATGTTAAGGTTACTAACTTCTGCTGATCAACGCATAAAGTTTGTGATCAGATAACTTCTTGATGTAGTCAAATCAGGTAATCATAATTGATAAAGGAAGTAATCTTTGACGGTCAATTAACTTCTTATTTAGATTGTTATTTATCGGAGATTTAAAGATGGATGAATAATTGCAGATACACATTGAACATTCTAAGACTAGAGCTTATTTCGGGCTACTGATTATGCATCGTTCTAGTTACTTTGATGTGTGTGATCAGTCTCTTAGAATGAAGATAATAGCCCAGCTGACCTGAATTAATGGTTATAATATGTAGCACTTAGACGGTCCAGATCCTTGTCGTCGACAAAGTCAATGCGTTGTGAGCTTCTACTTTATTAAATTGTTTCTGAGGACACTTGTCCAAAACATAGATAACCTAGACCTTTGAATAGTAAAAATAAATAACAAGACGAATTGACAAACATTAGCTATTTTAATGCAAACTGAAGACTGACTGTTTAATACAAATACCCTGTTACAGAGATATGGTCTATGGGGATGAGTAAAAAATGTCTCAGATATTATTTTGTAGACAATGAACCAGATAATCTATGTGTATCAGCATTTTAATATACTGTAAGGAATTGATCGGCTTAAAGAACCGTTTGTAAGCTTAGATAGTAGCAATCGAGTCTTATCCTTAGATATTAGGAATTATAGGTTTTAGCGAACTTATCTTTCATTTTTTCTTGATTGCATTTCAAGACATTCAGCAACCCATAAGAGTTTTCTAATAGCTATAAAATTCATACGTATTATGATTACATAATACTTTCGAGTAGGCTTGTTGTGATTCGGCAATCGCCTTATCATAAGAATTCCGAACGACTAGCTTCTTGCTTAATGAATCATTTATTTTCGCAAGTTTCTCCGAAATAATCCTCATATCATGCTGTAGACGGTTTTTTTCATCATCTTCCTCAATAATTGCTTTCTGTAACTGATCTCTTTTCTGACACAAGTCTTCTATCACTTAACCATATCAAGCATTCAGAAAATTGATATTACGTTTTACAAGTTCGGTGTTGTGCTGCTGAAGAATTTGTGCGTCATGTGCCATTTTCGAAATTGTTGTGCTTTTGGTGCTAGGATCCGTGCTAATGTTTCTCAATATCCAATATCTTTCCCACAAACTGGTATTATGTATTTGAGGATAAGGCGATGTTATGGATCCTCAAATTGTCCAGTGGGTGTTGTAAATTCACTAAATGTATTAATCCAAATATTTTCAATATTTATTTGAGGATTGTGTCTGGTGTTAAAGAATATATGTTTACCTAAGTTCAAATGGTTGTGGATGGAATAGAAGAAGCTTTCGTTTAATCGGCTTCCGTGTCTAGTAGCAGTGGATCACCAATACCTCCAGGCAGGAACCTTGGCATATTAACGATGATATAGGAGAAAGAAATGGGTAAATCATAGTGACATATTATCCTAAGTCCTTAAGTATAGGTCAAGTTTCCACTTAAAGGGCTCCTAGGGAATCGCTTTGACTGGCTCAGCCGACAGCGAATTCCAGCATTTGATAACTCTGAAGGAGGGGAAGTTGTGTCTACAGTCCGTTCTACTGTGTTGCTTCTCTAGTTTCTAGGTGTTACCTTTTAGGTTTGTGTTGGAGCTAAACTTAAGTATGTCAAAGTGTTAAAGATATTGTAAGTCATTAGAAGACCACCTATAGGACGCCTATACTCCAATGG